GGGGGGGCGACCATATATATATACACCTCTCTCTCTCTCTCTCTCCCTCCCTCTGTCCGTCTCTGTCTGCCCGCTGGCTTTTGTGAGGCTTCTGACTCCAGGCTGCCGCAAGGCCCGCGCTGGTGCTCTCAAGCGGCACGTCGAAGCTTGAACCGCAGTGGAGCCAGATTCCGAGCAGCGCAGAGACGTGGCCGTCTCGGCGGCGGAAGCGCGCCTCTCAGCCGTGGGCGCAAGGCATAGACACGTGGAGGCGAGGGGAGGCCACAGCCGGTGCCTGAGGCCGCCTTGGCCAATCCCACGCGACAAGGACCCGGTTGGTTTTTGGTGTCATGGCGTTAGCCATCGTTAGCCATTGTTCTGCATGCTCTGCACTTCGCCAGCGCAGGAGTGCGGCTGCTGGCGCAAGCTGCTTGGGCGGTTTGTCTGAAAGTCGAGCCGATGCCAAGACGTGCATGTTGCTCTGCGTCACAGCCACCGCAGCAGATCGTTGGACTCCTTAGGAAACGTCCCAGGAGAGTCGAAAGCAGATTCTAGAGAACGGTACTCATTGTGGCCACCACTAGTCACTAGAGTACCTCCCAAAACCTGCATTTGCGGATCCTCGCAGTTCAAAGATTCTCGAGTCGTGAATGTGTGCTCCTTCAACCGTGGCCCGTGGACGGGCTCAGAGACAAGGCGTGGGAAGAAAGGTGGAGTGTGGTGCGCGACCCAGGGTCCAAGTTATATCCTGCAATCGGTCCGTCGGTCCGTTTCAGATTGGAACGTGATATGAAGCACCTCGAAGCCGTTCTGGTACTCCAAACTGAGCGTGAAAGCACACAGACTTCGTGTCAGAAACGCACGCCAGAACTGCACGGCAGAACTACAACTAAGCCTCGCCAATGGGGCCGTGGATGCCTAGAAGTTCAGACGTAGAGCAGGGTTTCGTGCGGCTTGACGAACTATCAGAGACTCCGGCTTTCAATCTTGGAATACATGTTCTTTCCAACATCTGCTTCAGTAGGCTAGGAATAAGCTTGCGGTGGAATGAATAACACGCGAAGCTCATTCCCCATAGCCTGTACTCGCAGCGGTGAACCTGAGGCTTGCGCCAATTTTCCAAGCAATGCTCATTCCAAGCCCTTGTGCGGAACTTACGGTTTCATGGATTCTGTACTTCTCGCATGGCTTCTGCTTGTCGAACTCTTTGTCGCGGCATGACAGTTGGTGCAACCGAGCATGCTGTGCCGCTGGACGGTGATTGTCTGGTATCTAGGGCTTCTCAGCGATCTCGAGCGAATGTCGTTCGGCTGCAAAGATCCGCTGCATGCCGTGGATATTCATTGATTCGTTACTAGTCTTTTTTGGACGACGTGACCACGTGCTATACAGTGTACACTGTGCCATTCCAAGCCATTTCAGGCCATTCCGTGCCCTGCCCTGCCCTGCCCTGCCCCGTCCTGCACCCATTGTCATCCGATGCGATGCTGTGCTCTGCCGTGCTCCACTATCCTATGCAGTTGATATTCCAGCAACTCTAGAATGCTGTGTTTGATGCTTCTGATCTTACACGGCGTGTTGTCTCATGTGTTTCGTTGTCTTTGTAGTGAACACATTCAGATACGTTTCTTTAGTACTGTAGTTTGAAGACCATATGTCATGCTGTGTGTCTTCAGATCCTCACTTGTCGGTCGTGTAAGGTGGAGCCGGATTGCTGAAGCGTTGCAGCTGGGCCTCCGGGGAGGTGGGGCAGAGAGTCTTGGTTTTCGGATTTGGGGTTTTAGGATGTAAGGGTTTGAGGGTAGGTTTGGGGCTTTCAGGTTTCCGGTGAAGGTCATAGAGTTTAATTAGCGGTTGGGGGTTCAGGGATTAAATCCAGGCTTCCGGATCTTGTGTTCAACAAGGGGGTGGAGAAGCAAACAAGCAGGAGGCATGAAGATTGCAGAGAGAATCCTTGTACGAGTCTTGTATAGCAAGGGCAAGGTTCAATTTCGATGCACATTCGAGTGACCTGTTGTATTTTGTGTCCTGGACGCAGCATGTTTGCAGCAACAACCTTGAGCATGATCAGGACTGAGGTTCCACCACCAGAAACGTGTTGTTGTCGTGCATATGTGGTCGTTTTTTCAAGGAGGGGGCATAGAAGTGCAATCCTGTCCGTGCCGTAGGATGCCGCAGCACCTCCAGTCAAGATCTGGCAAATGGCATTTGGGCGCCCGGTCCCTGTGTCTGTGCTTCATGATCGCAGGCGCAAGTTGCCGGTTTCGGGTTTACGTGATGTGCTCGTGACTTTTTGGACTTGAGGCACAGATTTCACTGACCGTTGTGCCCTTTGAAGTCTGAGGCTCACGGTAGCTTCCGTCGCACACACGGATTCGTCATCATTCTCGGTTGGAAGCTTGGCGGGACGCAGCACCATATTTCGCATCTTGATGCCTGAGAGCATCGTTTTCTGAGTCTGAGGCGCTTGCTGCAGAAGCTGCCCGACGCTCCGACTTCGAGCCTCGGCAGCCGGCCGCACAGAAGCAGATGTCCACGGGTCCCGCCGGGTCCTGGCGTTTTTTTGACAAAGCCTTTCCGAGGTTAGCGGCCTGTGCATCGCCGGCGTGGTTGGCTTCGGCTCGCACTCGTACATGCAGTCGGGATGCCTTCGTCCAGAGCTCAACAGGCATGGGCTTTGGCGTCTTCCCGCCATCGTGATCCTGCGTGGCTGAAGGTGGGGAGTGGAGGTGCGTGCAAGGCAACGGAGAGAAAGCAAAGGCTCTGGAGCGGTCGAGCCACCGGGTGCTCGACGAGTTCCAGCTGTCGGAGGTCGCTGCGATCTCTTGGGTCTGAGGGCCCAAAGCTGTCAACAGATGCCCAGAGTCAGAGGGTCAGAGGCGACTTACTCTGAGGCGTGGGCAGCGTCGGAAGCCGGCGGGTCGCTGATTGAGGCCTCCCGTCTCAAGGGATGTCCGAGGGCTTCGCTTGTGGGGATGTGGAAGTTCCGAGAGCGAAGTCAGAGTCGAGCCACGGGTCGCGAGATATTGCACTCTGCAGGGAGTGGTGTGCAGCTCTTGGGATGTTCGCCTCACCCAAATTTTGGTCTGGTCCCCAGGCGCTTCTCCCACGAGCCCAACAACTCCTCGAGGGTCCAAGGCCAAGTGGGCCTTTGACACGGTGCATGTCTAGCTTGCTTTCTGGCGGTGCTGGCTGATAGTAAGCCCCAAAAGGTTGGAAACCGGATGAAGGACAATTAGTGCTGGGATTCCCTATACATTACTCTTAAGTTTTGGGCTACTACGTCACTGGAATAGTGTTCGGACTATTGACTATATTGTATATATACATATACATATGTAGATCTTAAAGCATATATCCGAATTGTCGCACGTTTGGCTATCATTTGATGATTCTGTTTCTGCCTACTCGGAGAAGCGGTTTGCATCAATGCTCGTCTCCTTCGGCTGCCGCTTGAAGGACGTCTCGGGGTGGGCCGGGCTATGTCGAAGCCTTGCTGCAGCTTGCCCGGGCCTGAAACCGGCTCATGGCGTGCCTAATGCTGCCACTGCCGCTGCTGCTGCTGCTGCTGCTGCTGCTGCTGCTGCTGCTGCCACTGTGCCGACGATACTGCTACCATTCCTGAACTACTCTTACTGCTACCTGCACCAGGACTTTCAGGGATTAATGCTTTTGAGATCACTAGCATGACTACATGCAAGGTGACAACTACAGTCAGACATACCGCACAGCCTTCAGCAGATTAGGCAAGAGTCAAGCAAAACGATCCATGTTATAAACTCAAGACCGAATATAATCAGAGGTTCATGATATCGATTAGTATGAGGAGGCTGCGAAATGATGCCTGAGGCATGGGCTGGCTCCTTCGGACAAGTTTCCCGGGCGCCAGGGGCTCAGGGCCTTGCGCGCGATGTTTTCAGGACTGGAGCTTTGCGGATAGGGAGTCACATTCCCTTTGTTGGCAATGCTGGGCTGTTTAACTATTTCATTATCGCTCGCCGCAGAGAGAGGCACAGCGTCAGCGACTGTGAAATTGGGCCCCGTTGGCGTAGAGTTGGAAAAACCTGTCAACTTTCACGCTGGAGTGCAGGTTGATGCCAGAATTGAACGAGCTGAGGTCTGGCCTGAACAAGCTTATTCAAGACTGTCTCCTCAGAGAGGGGAGACTCAGGGATGTGCAGACTCGCGGAAGGCATCGGCACGGCGAGTCTGAAACTCTGCCTTGTGCGCCATCTGACGTCGCAGGATGACCAAACCAGCTGCAGCGATGTTGGCGGAGGTCGCCTCGATTTGCCGACATTTGCACATACTTCTGAATCTTCCATGTCCTTGTCGCACTTCCCAAAGTCCCAGCATGCCTGTGCCGTGTCGGACTAGTGCCTCCCTGCAGCTTTTCGCCCAGACTAGTGCGAGCTTGACGATGCGTGCTGCGTGTGAACTTCTTGCAGGTGACGATGCACCCGTCCAACTCGCCAACTATCGTCGTCAACGAGGACAACGAAAATGCAAGCCCATCCAAGTCAAGGGTCTGGCTACAGCCACATCCACTTGCGAAGAGACTCATCCTAGCAGGAGCAGCAGGGCTTTGTGGTTCTTCACAAGCCTGTCCACTGGGAGGCCATGTTCTGCCTTGTGTGCGGGACCGCCAGAGCCCGTGAGAAGAAGAAGAAAAATATCGCGAATATAAGAGAGGAAGGTTGGACCGATAAACGTTGGGCTACCTTGGGCTGTGGGTGAAAATGGCTGGGAGAGGGGTGAGATTGGGTTTTTGGGGTCAGATGGGGTTTTCGGGGGTCAGATTGGGTCTCAGAGAGTTGCGACTGGGTCAATGGAGGGTCCCAAAACAGACCAACACAGAAGAAGAAAAATGGAGTGGGTTCTAACCAACCCTGAAATTCCCTGAGCTGAGCGAAGCAAGGGGAGTGCACAATTTTGCCCATCAAAGCACAGGTGGACGGTGCTGACGCCGTGGGTTGTTCCAGCGCCTGTCTCAGCGACATCATTCGATTGAAGCTATTCTACAACCGGCCATTCTGCTTGCTCGTGGGAGGCCGGCCCATACCCCTTTCTGGCTACATGCAGATCCAGTTCCCGGGCAGGTTGCATGCGCTTGCGTCAAGCAACAGGAGAGCGTTCTACACCGTAGACACAGCACCTGCAGCACAGGCCTTTGCTTTGCGACGCTTCTGCCGGTGGCGGTTTTCTCGGCCGCCCTCTCAGGTTTGTGTTGGATGGCCAAAAGGCGATTCTCCTTCTTCGATTCCCCTGCCTGTGGACAGGAAGGTTGGATGCACAGTCATCTGGCCTGGTGATCAGTGCACTGACCTATGAGGCCGGGTTCTGGCAACTTCACACCTGGAAGGTTCAAGAAATGCGATGTCGTGCGACGGAGCAAAGCGTCAGTCCAAGGCCCATTTGCTTCTACAGTTCCGGCAAGACACCCATTCTGTGGCCTGGGCCTCGCCATGCTTAAGGTGTACACCTCAAGCCCCAGCTTGAATTGCAATATCTCTACACCAGGGAGACGTGAGGTGGTTCTTGCAGTCGGAACTGGACTCAACACAGAGCTGAAAGTTTGAGGCCCGAGAGTATGTGGCACTGTGCCATGGTTTGGTGCCAGAAACCTTGCATGAGGCAGGGTTCGTCTGTCGGCATGCTCTTGGCATAGACACCGTAGTATCAGCCTGTTGATGGAATCTCCCAGCTCGCACCTCGCCGTTCCAGATCAGCCTTCCAATCCGGGTGCGCGCGGGGGCCTCCAGCGAAGTCCATGCGAGCGGTGTGGCGGCCGTCACGCGGCTTCGAGTCCTCACGAGGTCCGTGCCTCGAGCTCCACAGTGTCACAGCTGCTGTCCGGCATGAACATGCTGAGGCTATCGCAACAGTGCGGCCCCTCGACGGAAGATTACAGATCCTCAGATGCAGAGAGGAAGATCCTTTCGCGCCTTCGTCTTTGTGATGCAGTGTGCTTGTCTGAGGCCTCGTGGTGCTGTCCATTTTGACGGGACGCAACTCGGAAAGCGAGATGAAGCTGTGAAGCTCTTGTTCCGGGTTTTGGTTCTTTTGGCGCCTTCGCCGAGGCAAGCATCAGATCCGATGCCATCTTTCACATGTGGGCCATCCTGTCGTCTGTGATGGGCGCTATGCACCGCAGGCAGGGCGGTATGGAGCAGAGTTTTGAGTCAACGCTCTCACCAACGGGAGAGCCGAAATTCAACAATGCAAGTTCTGATATGTAGGCCAAGCGAGTAGACCGAATCAGCTGTACTGTCCCCCCAGGCGCTGCAAAGCGATTTGAAGTGGTGTCCACGGCTCTTCCTTCACCGCTTCCGTCTTGAATTTCTAGGTGTCTCAGCTTTGTTGGCATGGCGTGACGGGCACGGTGCGTCAGTCGGTGGCCAAGGCCTGGACGACTGCAAGATCGAGGTCGGACCGAAGTTAACTCCCGTTGTTGCAAGCGGAAACAGATCCTCTGCTCTACGAAGGATTGAATGCAGTCCTCGGAGCTGCGTATAGCCTAGCTGCAGCCGGTGGTCGGTTTTTAGAGGCATAGGCGTTCTTAGTTGAAGCAAGCTGGACAAGCGTGGCAGAGCAAGCCATTATTTCAGAAGTAGCTAGGTCCTAGCAGGCTTGTGACCCAAACGGAGCCCTTATTGTTGGTTGCAGCTACTGCTTCTGCTTCAACTCTCCAGACAGCTCTTGGCGATGGCAGTCCCCAGGAGCATCTGCCCTGGCCAGGCCAGCCACGGGTTGCCGAGCGACCTCCAGGATGTTCTTCGTGGCTGCCTTGGTGAAGAAGTGGTCAAATCACAAACCAAAGGTTCCCTTGCAGTTACAGTTGCATCCGATTTCTTTTGAGCCTTCCATAACAAGGCCGACTGCATCCTCAAAGCCGCACCAGGTTCGCGCGTTTTTTTTTTAAACTGTGGCGAGTTCTAGCTTACCAGAAGAACCGAAGTCTCCGAGCACTGCGCTTGAGGATCTCCGAGGAAGTCTTGAGTCTCTGGTCTCGAGGGGCCTGGCTCTCAGCCTTGAGATGCTTCTTTCAGGAGGGTTGCATTGGTGGCTGAGGATTCGCTACCATTCCACGAGTGGGCAGCGCGGGGCAATGGTGAACAAAAGCATACAACAGCTCTTTGTGGTTTCATCCTCATCTCATTCGTGGCCGGCGCGTGATGGTTGTGTACTTCCACTTGCTGCGTGGCGTGATGGCTGCCGTCGCCTCAAGCATCGACTCGTTGAGGCCGAAACCACTGGGGCAGAGCCCTATCCCCTCAGCCACAGACATCCACAGCCCATGCCAACAGACCCTTTCCTAACTTTGTTCGTCTGACGCGCCCGGCGCCCGAAGTGCACCCGTGAAGCCAGCCATGGATGCCGTGAGTGCCAAAGACCTCACGCAGCCTCCCGTGAAGGCGCAGACTGCGAAGTCGGAGCCGCGTGGAGCACTGCCACACTCCGCGCGTGCACTGTAAGTGTCGCCGAGTGTGGCTCCATCGGTGGCAGGTGCTCTTCCTTGCGGAGGAGGCCGGGGTTTTGCCGTCTGCAGCAGCCAGACGCCAGGCCAGGGCGGGTCTTCCCGGAGTCGCCGTTTTCAGGCGCAAGACGACAAGACTCAGCAAGTGGCCTCCATGCATCTCCGCTGCACCGATTGCCCCCATCCCCTACGGAGAGCCCCGGCGAACGCTCGTCGAGGTTCTGCGCAGCAGAGAGCGGTGATGCAGACGAAATAGAATGGCAACTGAAGTTCGGCATGAGCCCAAACGTGGCTTGGCTTCAATCTGCCATGGATGCCGCATCGGGTGCCACATCAGACTAAAGATTCGGCTAGTCTTGCAGTCTACACGGGAACGAGTCTGGCAGTTGGCAGTGTTCACCCTGGCTCGAGTTGTACAGAGACGAGCTGAAGGCTTCAAGTCACACATCCTCCCGACGCCATGATCGCCGTCCGTGGTCTCAGCCTGGTTTGGGCCCTTGGCATCCTCGCCCTATCCAGTGCTCAGGCGCATGATCATGATCACCGGGCTTCATTGCGGGGGCACCAGGAGCCACAGCAGCCCGAGGTGCAAGAAGCCGCGGATCAAGAGCCTGCCGACAATGAGCAGCCTGGTGTTGCAGAGGACCCAGCGGTTGCGGAGGAACAAATGCAGCTGTTGCAGCTGGAGAAGGCCATGAAGCAGACGGAACACAGGTTGGCCTTGTCGAGTGCCGTGTGCCTGCTTGTCCAGACGATCATAGTGACCATCGTCGGCCTGCTGTATACAAGCTGCTTCCAGAGCAAGCCTTCGCCCGACGAGGTGCTGCAGCCGGAGCGTGCGCAGGAAGGCTTTCGGTACGGTCTTTGCGATGGCTGTTGCCACAGCCTGCGGATCTGCTGCTGCAGCTTTTGGTGCTTGCCTGTGCGCTGGGCCGACACGGCCAGCTCACCGCAGATCAAGTTTCTGGGTTTCGGCACAGCGGTCTTCCTCTTCCAGCTCCTCTACGTGCTTTCCAGGCTCCCGAGCGTCTTCATCTCTTTCATGGCCCCCTCATCCCCCTCAGAGCCCTCTCCCATGGGTCCTATGATCCTTCTGCTGGTATTGGCGGTGCTCTTCCATGTCCTGCTGTTGGTGATGCTTGTGCGACACCGCCAGCGTGTCCGCAGCCAGTACGGGCTGCCCCACGGCACCTGCGGCACTTGCACCTGCGACGTCTTGGTCTGGATTTTCTGCTCCTGCTGTGCTGGCATGCAGGAGGCTCTGCAGGTGGAGTACGTCGGTGAGCCGGTGGAAATCTGCGAAGGCAAGTTCGAAAACAAGCGCAGCGCCATGTGCTGAAGAAGTGTGAAGAAGTGAATGATGCATGTTGGGAGGAAGCAATTGCAACAGCACCGAAGGGTGCTTGCAGGGATCGTAGCGTGTAAAGGAGGGGTCGCTTCCCAGATGTACAGGTTCCTTGGTTATGAATTGCAACCTCAAAGAGCAGCAGTCATGTTGCCCAAGGCTCTCGCTGCATCGCCTTTTATTCTTTTGTTGCCGAGCAGCATGGGCGGCAGCTAGGAAAAGACGGCGGACACCCCATGCTTACACTGCAGGGCTTCATAATGACCGCATGCCTGCATAATTCCGAAGTCTTGGTAGGTCAGGGATGGCTACGGCAGAACGCCTCTGCACCTGGCCGCTCTCATGGGCCACTACGAAGATGCTTGCCTTTGAAGTACCAATTCGTGGCACGACGCTGGCATTAGGAAATACATATATATATATATATACAATAGTAATATAATATAATATAATATAATATAATATAATATAATATAATATAATATAATATAAAATAATAATATACTATATTATATTATAGAGTCGTTTTTTAAGGCCGTGGAGAAGCTCCTCGGACATGCGAAGTGCAACGTGAACTCCTTGGACGCCCATGGTCGCACGCCCTTAAACCTGGCAATGCTGGAGCCGAAGTACGTGCTGAAAGAGCCCGGGCCCTAGGGTTTAGGGTTCAGGGTTTAGGGTTTAGGGGCACCCGTCAAGGGCGAGTTTCCTAGCCGCATGTCGACAGCCGACTGAGGTCCATGCGAGAAGCGAAGCTGAAAGTAGTAGCGCTACTGCGAAAGAGGGGTGGAGCCTCGGCCAAATGCAAGCGGTGCCAAGAAACAACAGATCCGACTCGCAGCTGAGCTTGCAAATCCTACTGCAGAAATGACCCTGGGTGCCATGTCCCATATGCTCGTAGAAATATAGGGGCCCTAATCAGGGACTACCAGGGAGTACTTGGAGTCAGACTGTGAGCCAAGGAAGGCAAGCGGCCTTGTACCAGAAAGAGTACCCGCATCTCGGCAAGGAAAGAGCCAGCTTCTTGAGAGAACTCAAAGCAGATTGGCAACATCCTTAGAACACCCCCACGCCCGTTATGGAGCTCATGGAATAGACCCGTTTGGAACCCTCGCGACCTCTTGAATCCGCTTGAAAAGCAAGCTTGAAAAGCGAGTCCTTGCGAGGTCTGGGCCGGCCTAGTCCTGCTCCGACGGCTCCAACAAGCCTCAAAAGACGCCCCAAGGGGTCTTCGAAGAAGATCCAGAAACAGTGGGGCAAGACACATGTTCTAGACACCTCCGGATGGCAATCGGTGGCACTGAAGTCCTGTTCTATATGCCACTGCAGACAACATCGGCGCCCAGAAACCGAGTTGTAATCCTGGCAGGACTTGCGTTAGCTCGCCAGATGCTGAACAGCACCCGGCCACTTACAAAGTTTAAGATTTCCGTGCCGACATCAGCGTGGCCACAGCAGAAAAGGCAACAAGCATGGTGGCGAGGGGAAGTGCACGTGTTGTGAAAGCCATGCGATACCCTGCATATCCAAGCAGTGCAATGTTGTCTGCAAAGCACATATTGTGGTGCTCACCGTGGCTCAGCTCGGGGATGCAACAGAGCGTTACACCATCTGTCCGCTTCCCAGCGTGGTGCACTTAGTGCGATCTGTACTCATGGTTGCAAGCATGGTTGTTAGCTTTGCGATGTGGTCGTTCCCAGCTGAGGCTGACATATCTTCTCAGAATGCCGCGTCCACCCAAGAAGTGTGGACAGAAACCCGTCGCGAAAGCCGGGGGAAAGGCTTCAAAAGACGGGATCCCGAAGGCGAAGGGCAAGACCAGCAAGGAGCCAGAGCCGGAATCGGCTGGGACACGAAGGCTCATTGAGGAAATGGCGAGGGCTTGCGAGGCCTTTCTGTCCGAGAAGTCATCACACGCTCGGCTTCCCATGGCAGCCATCCAGCAGCTCTCCCATGTGGCCTGGGAAGTGAAGATGGATTCCTGGAGATGCAGAGAGGCCTTGGTCGGTGATGCTGCGAAGGATTTAGCACATGTTGCAGACAGCGGAGACGTGCTTTCCCGAGTCTTCAAGGCCTTGCAGAGCAAGTGCTTGACCCCGGGGGATTTGGATCGACGCAGGCCTGAATCTTCGGAGGCCAAGCTCGAGAATGATTCTGCCGGCTTATCGCTCGCCTCCTTGATCCTGGATCTTTCGGCGACGAACCAGCCCAGCCGAGACAGCTCGAAGGCAGACAGCGGAGTGCCGAACCTTCAGCCGGGAGAGGAAGTCATTGCTCATTCGGTGTCTTTTCTCTGGCACGAGGTGCTTCAGGGGAAGGGGAAGGATCTTATTCCGCGGCCCGGTGCAGTGCCGATGCGGATCCAGAGTCTTAAGTGTAGAAACATGATGCGATGACGAGTGACATGACATGTGAGACTGTCGGTCATGCCCCCTGTCAGGTAAGGTTCACACTGCCCATGTTGCTCGAGGCCAATGCTGCGAGCACAGAAGCTGCGGCTACATGTACCAAAGTCACACGTGCTCTTCGCTCGATTCACCACCTCTTCGCCTCGCGACGTTATGCGAGCCGCGCTTTGCCTGCAACCTGCCTGGCGCACCGCACCGCTGTCCTGGCCTCGCAGTGTTCTTCCATCGCTTCCTCGCTGTCCTCTTGCAGCCCAGCAATCATCAAAGCGGCTTTGGGAGCCCTTGGCGAAGCAAGTGGTGACCTCCTCGTGGCGCTTCTGGGCTACGGCTGCGCAGATGCGGCACTTCAGTCCGCTGCCTTTGCAGAGCTTGGCAAACTAGCAGCGAGCCAGCTGCTGGTGAACGGCCTTTCAGGGAAGGGCCCTTCCTTTCTAGCCCTTGCCTTGCGAGCCATCGGCGCGACACTGCTTCCTTTGAACTTGGAGGAAGGTCGGGGCAGTGATGGCAAGGCTCAGATGGCGCAGACAGCCCGACTGGCCGCAGAGTGTGTTGCATCGGCGGAGGCTCGTGCCGGGAACCTCGCAGCGGCCGTCCTGCAGGTCTTGGTGGACTCTCATGGCAGCGATTTCACGCAGCTCGAGGGTCTCGTGATGCAACTCGTGTCCGCTTGTGCAGATCCACGGTGGGCGGCAGCCCCGCTCTTTGCATTGCGCATGATCGCTGCCCTGCGACGAGTGGCTGGGGCCTCCCGTGGCGTTGAGTTGGAATGTGGGCGGCGGGAGGAAGCCACACGATTGATCGGAAAGGCCGCAGAAGCCCTCTGCTCGCAGCACTTGGAAGCATCGGGAACGACTGCAGCCGCCTGTGAATCCGATGCCTCCGTTCTGCGAAAGGCAACGCCTGCATCTGGTACAGAGCATGCGCGGAGCACATCGAGCTTACTGGCCCTCGCTGGATTCCAGAAGCGTGACTCTGGGGGTCAGGAGAGCGCCCTGCTGGCACCTGCCTCCGGCACCTCCTCCCCAGGGCACTTGCAGGGAAGTGCTGTGCCAGCGAGCTGCGCCACCTGCAACGCTCCCTTCTCAGTGCTTGCACTGGCACGGCCCAGCGCAGGGTTTCAATAGGTGCTTGTGTTGCCTTGTGCTGCCCTGTGCCCAGGCTGCGGCTTTGCTTTGTTTGGCCACGGGCAGTTCGCCTGGTAAGGGGAAGAAAGCCAAGGCCACAAAGACCTCCCAGGCAGGGGCATTTCTGCTTAGGCAACACATGACGCATGCTGTGACAATGCATCAGGCGGATGGAAGTCTCCCAATCCTTCGCTCATGGGCGAGCTGCAGCAGCTTGGAATCAGGCCGGGGACTGTGCTTGATCTTTCGAAGGGTAGCGTGGACGCGTCGTACACGCACATTGAGAAGGGAGGAGTGCGGGCCACAAGGTTTCATGCTGGCTGAATCTCCTGCCCACAAATGGTCAACGTTTAGCAGCGCAAAAGGATTTGGCAGCGAGACCACTACTTGTGGGGCCTGCAAGAAAGCCTTAATGTCGACCCAGCAAGAAACTGTGCCTTCGGTCGGGGCCTCCTCGTTAGCCTGCAAGGGCCTAGTCCAGAACGTGATCCACGCTTTTGCGGCAATTCTAGAGGACTCGTGGTCGTGATTCGTGGCAAGTCGGCAGTTGTTGCATTCGTGGCTGAGCCTATAGGCACGGCGTAGAGAGCCCCTGGTCAGAGCGACCCTCGAGCCATTAACTGGCCGAACCGATGGGAACCTGCTGCAAGGAAAGCGGGTTTTCAACGCCATGGGAGGCGATGAACTCGGGCAAGGTCGAGGAGCTGTTGTACATCCCGGCTGTACAGCTGGAGAAGGACAAGAAGCCAGACTACCTTGCCACCATAGATCTGAACCCGAAAAGCCCGACTTATGGCGAAGTCATTCATCGACTGTACATGCCTGAACCGGGTGATGAGCTTCACCATCTCGGCTGGAACGCGTGCTCTTCCTGCCGTGGACAAGAAGGCCGGCCCACACACTCCTTTTTGATCGCTCCAGGAGTACTCTCTGGAAACATTCACATCATCGACGTGCGCTCGGATCCCCGGGCGCCGAAGATCCACAAAACCATCCAAGGAAGCGAGCTTTTGGAAAAGGTTGGGGTGGCGCTGCCCCATACCGCACACTGCGCACCGGATGAGATCATCATGTCCTTCATGGGGAGTGGCACAGCCGAAAAAGGATTCGAGCCCAGTGGCGCTGGATTTGTCTCTTTCGATCCCAAGACGTTCGAGATAAAGCGCCGTTGGGAAGCGGCCGGCACGACCAAATTCGGCTATGACTTCTGGTACCAACCGCGTCACAACGTCATGATTTCATCTGAATGGGGCCATCCAGGCTGTTTCACGAAGGGCTTTGACCCTGCCCATGTTGCAGACGGACTCTATGGCAGCAAGCTTTACGTCTGGAATTGGGCCGAGCGCACGCTGAAACAGGAACTCGATGTCGGAGCCGGATTCTCAATGCGCGTGTCTCCGCATGCCACGAAGTGTCACCCCAAAGTCCAAAGTAGGTTTTTCAGGGGGCTTCGCGACTTCTAAGGCGGGCTCCATTCCGCTGGAGGTGCGATTCCTTCATGACCCCGACAAGGCGGAGGGCTACACCGGATGTGCACTAAGCTCGGAGATGGTGCGCTTCACGAAGGGCGAGGATGGGGAATGGGTCAGCAAGACCGTGATTAAGGTCGAGCCCATCCCAGTTGAGGGCTGGGCTCTGCCAGAGATGCCGGGACTCATCACCGACTTCGTGATTTCCCTGGACGACCGCTTCCTCTATCTCTCCAACTGGCTGCATGGCGACGTGCGACAGTACGACATCACCGGCTCCGAGCCCAGGTTGGTGGGGCAGTTCTTCGTCGGGGGCTCTTTGAAGAGCACCGGCTCCGTGAAGAGGAAGGACGGCCTTGCACAGCCCGAGCCTCTGATCGTGAATGGAGTCGAGATTCAAGGTGCGGGTCTCTTTTTTTTTTTTTTCGGGTCTTGTGTTTTCTGAAAAAATGACAAGTCACACTTACACCATTGGTGTTGGGGTTTGCCTCGCGGCCCCCTGATTTCGTGAAGTTGCTACTTGTAGGTGGCGCGCAGATGGTGCAGCTCTCCTTGGACGGGCGTCGCCTCTACGTGTCCACTTCGCTGTTCTCCTCCTGGGACAGGCAGTCAGAGACCCAGTTGCCCGGACAGAGCCCGTGCTCTACCCTGAACCGACACCAGACTCCAGATGGGATGGGGGTTCACGGCTGGGAGGTTTGAGGAAGAGGCTACTAGTATTGGTTGTTGAGTGCAGAAAGACGGAGGTTCTATCCAGATATGGCTGGCCGCGGAGCGCAGCTCATTCAGCTGGATGTCGACACGGAGAAGGGCGGGCTGTCCCTGAATCCCAACTTTGTGGTCGACTTCGGTGCGGAGCCAGATGGCCCCGTGGTGTGCCATGAAATGAGGTTTCCGGGAGGAGACTGCACTAGCGACATTTGGGTTTAAGCTGGAATGCACGGCAGAATGCTGAGCGCCAGCCTCGTAGCAATCGCATGCGAGTTTCAACATCTTGCTTGCAAGGTTCTGTTTCCATACAGCACAGGCCTGGCATCTGCAAGCTTCCAAGTTTAGATCAGAAAGACTTCCGAGCAAGGACAAATACGAAGCGAATTCGGCTTGGCATAGCATGACTGAGGGGCCACCTCCTACCCTCTCACACACGTCATCTTTCCTTCTTTCACTGCTGCATTGCTTTCTCTGTTTCTGCGTTTCTTATCTCACTCTTACTTGCTCTGTCTCTCGCTCCCCCCTCTTTCGCTCCTGCTGGGAGGTGCAGAGAAAGCAAGCGCCCAGGCCTGCCGCAGCAGCTCATCTGAAAGTGGATCGCTGCGAATCTAGCCTTGCTGAAGTCACAGGTTGGGTTCCCGTCGATTTTGTGTGTCAAAATCCCGACTCCTTGAAGCTGACCAGGAGTTAGGGACCTGTCAGCTCTCTGGTTTTCAGACCACTGCAAGACTTGAGGCGCACGACGCCTCTACAGTCACCTGCTCTGGCGGGATGGGGAGAGCTATCTGTGTCGTGCAAGCTGCTCGTCATAAGATGCCCTTAGCCTTCCGCCTTCCTCCGCCCATTCTCCTACAGTAAAGGGCGGGGTAGAAGATGCAACGTGTGAAGGCTCTGCCTGTAGCTGTGCTTCGCACAGGAACTGCGGCGCTGGAGTCGCTGCTCTCGATCGGTCGGGGCCATCCATTGGCCCTCGTACGGCGCCAGGCACAGAAGCGGCCGTGGGCGTGGGGTGAGTCTTGTCATGTCTTGTCGTCTTGCGCCTGGGGGGAGGCCTTGGCGAGCTTGGCCGGGGCCTGCATGGCGGACCCTTCGCTGCTGGCCTCTCGCTGTATCGTGGAGGCTGTGGCCAGTGGCCTCTCGGCAGAACATGCAGCGCCATGCAGCGCCATGCAGCGCCGGCATCTGCCTAATCATGTGACACGATGAAGCGAATTGAAATGGTGTGGAGGTCTGCAAGATGAGGCGGCTTTGGCTCGGCTGGCCAGCGTGGACCTCGTCCTGCGGCTCAGCAGCCATGGCCACGGTGAGGTCATCGAACAACGGCTGGCGGAGTTGCGCGGCGCTGTGCGAGGGCGGCTGTCTGATCCATCGCCTCTCGTGCGCCGAGCGGCCTTCCGTGCCGCATGCCAGTGGCTTGAGGAGGGTGTCGAGGCCCCGAGCCACTGCCTGCAAGAGGCAGGCAATCTCCTGCGCCGGCTGCGATCCGAGCAGCCGACGATCCGCTCCTTCGTCCTGGGGGTGCTGGCACGCATGGTCTTTGATGGGCTCAGCAAAACCGGCAAGGATCGGCTGGAGAGTCTCCAGGCCCTCCTCGCGCAAAGCGGTGCTGGTGGGACTGGCCTTCGCGATGTCATCGCTGCGCACTGCAGGCATGCTTTCTCGGCAAAGCTGCACATGTGACCTGAACATGTGATACTAGCCGAGTCAGAAGCAGTCTTGAATGATTCCCTGCACGGTGCAGGGCCATGGACGCGAGCAAAGATGTGGAGGACGCGCCCGTCGCAACGACCTCAGTGATGGCCGAGGTCGTTGGTTGTGCTTTCGCAGTGCTGCCAGCAAAGCCAGAGAAGCTTGAGAAGCATCACTTACAGCTCCTGACCATCTTGGAGCAAGTGGGGATGGAACGCCCAGCCGCCTTTCAGTCCAGCCTGGCGCTTCTGCAAAGATGGCTTGATGTGGACACCCAGTGTCAGGACGCAGGCGACGCAGGTCCTTCCAGCCCCGAGCTGGACCTCCCCATCTGCGCCTGCAACATCCTCGCGCAAGTCCTGCCACACTGGGCCGAGCACACCTCCACCCTCTCCAAGCAGAGCCAGGCGCGCAAGCTGATGGCCCAGCTGGCGGCCCCTCGGCATGCCCTCAGAGTGGGCGGCTTGAAAGTGAAATGCCTATATATTATATATATATATATAT